AAAAAAAAAAATGTGTGGCCAATGGATCCCATCTCCTTGGATTGCATTTTTTTTTTGGAAACAAATGCTAAGACTTAGGGTTTTAAGGGGCAAACAAATGAACTTTTTCATAAATATTAAGTAAATTGTTGTGTGAAAGTGGTGCGTTTAGGGTAGAATCTTTGAATGTAGGCTTACACTTGAACCCATATTTGAAAAAACTACCAAAATAATAAGGATTTTTTGGAGGCCGGTACAATCTTATAACCGAATAGGTCAATAGATCCAAACACTTGGTTTTTATGGATAAGTCCATTTCAAAAAACCTTTTTACCCTTATTTAAAAACAAATAGAAAGTTTAATAATAACCATATAAAATTCACAATTCAAAATTTAAATAAAATCAGATCTTTTTTTTTTTAAAATCTTTCATAATTAAAATTCTCTCTCTATCTCTCACATATATATAGAAAGTTTAATTGTATCTATATAATATCCATATTTCAACGTATAATATGACAATATGTTTTGTCAATAGGTCCAGACGCAATTTTATTGAGGTATTATTTGGTAAGTAGATCTATAAGACTTTTTTCCTTTTTTTTTTAATTTCCTATTTTCCCTAAATTGAAAGACATATTTGATGTTATAATTCCGTGACTCTTTCGTCCTATTATCTCTCTCACATCTCTTATATATATAATATATATATATATTAATCACAGTAACAGTGACACAATGGCTGCCACAGTGACACTACTACTATATATAACAACATTCTACTACAATATACATGATATTCACAGTGACGGCCATAGTGACAAAAACGACATATTCACATTGACACAACAACAAACAAAGTGATACAACTATTGTGTATAATAAATTTTATTGCGATATAATAACTACTATATTTACACATTAGTCATTACTTATGCCTAAAAGTACTCTTAACACAAAAAATTTGCCAAGAAAATGGGGCATCCAAGAAGGTCTTAAATAAAAGAAGTGCAAGGATTGAAATGAAAAAATTATATCATATTAAAAAATTAACACAATCCGAAAATCTATATGAACTTAAATTAACACCATTACAAAATTATGTTGTTATATATTTCTTCATGACCACACTTCTTTCCAATAAGTGTTCATTTTTTTAACCTCTTGATAAATCTAATGAATAGGTTGTCTAATTCACATTAAACTATAAATCAAATTTCCAAAAAATAGAAAAAAACCTAACTAAACTAACATTGTCCAGTGAATTTGCTTGTAGTTGCAAGGATAATTGATTTAAATTATCTGGCGGTATGACTTATCGGATGTTACAAAAATATTCTTATGTTGCAATTAAACCAAATCAACAAAATCAAAATTTCACNTTAAACTAACATTGTCCAGTGAATTTGCTTGTAGTTGCAAGGATAATTGATTTAAATTATCTGACGGTATGACTTATCGGATGTTACAAAAATATTCTTATGTTGCAATTAAACCAAATCAACAAAATCAAAATTTCACTACTTAAAAAAAAATCGATTTAACTAACTAATCAAATCTTTAAAAAATATGAACATTAGTAAGGGAAAAGAGATGCAAATAAGGGGGAAAAATTGATAGTTGGTTTCACTTTTTTTTATTCGTCATTGATATTTTTTTATTGGTAATTAGCTTGAATTTGAATTTTTTAGTTTTTTTGGTGTAATTGATATCACTTGTTATTTTTTTATTAGTAATTAGCTTGGTTTTGAATTTTTATTTTTATTTTTTTGGTACAATTGGTATCACTTGTTATTTTTTATTGGTGATTAACTTGGTTTTAAATATCTACAACCTGAATTTTTTTTTTAATATATAAATATTTTCTCATCTATAAAATCATACAAAATTTTTGAGTAAATAAGTTCAATTAGGATCATCAAAACAAACAGATAATGTTAAGAGAGAAAGTATGAGATAACATTATATGTCTTGAAGATCCTAATTTGACTTTCATTCTATCTCATATATAGATAGAAAATATAAGAGATGAGAGAGTGTGTATTTAAAATGTATATGAGGGAGAGAAAAAAAGTTTTATATACGTATGAAAATTGAGTATATGAGATAGAGAGAGAAAGAGAGTTATATTAAAGATGTGAGTCTTACAGTTTTAAACGAAATTAAAGTTTAATTAGACCTGTCAGATCAATAATCTTCTAGTGATCTGAGCCGCAAAAAGAGCAAGATAGATACATCTAACTATTTTATTATATAGATACAAATGTTTTGAGTAAATAAATCTAAGTATGATTATCAAGACAACACAAATAATGCTAAGAGAGAAAGTATGAGATAATATTATTTGTCTTGACGATTCTAATTAGATTTTCATTCTATCTCATTTATATATATAGAGAGAGAATGAGAGATAGGAGAGTGTATGTTTAAAATGTATGTGAAGAATAAAGAGAATTATATTCATATGAGAGTTGGGTGTATGAGACAGAAAGAGAAAAAGAAAGTGAATTATATTAGAGATAAGAGTCTTAGAGTTTTAAAATGAATGAAAGTCTAATTAGGATATTTGGATTTATAATCTTTAAACAATCTGAGCTACGAAAAGTTTAAGATAAAAAAATTTAACTACTTTATTATATAGATAAATATTTTATACGTAGCAACCTTCTACTACAATGAATATTTACATCTATAAATACATATAGTATACACGTGAGAGAGATATCTACTTGTGAGAGAAAAATTTATGTGAAGAGAGAGAGATCTGTGGGAGAGAAAACCTAAGACGTAATCGGCCGAGAGAGAGATTTACGTAGAAATTTTTAGAATCTGGGTGAGTTTTTTTAGAATCTATCAAAGAGAGATTTTAAATGAGAGATATGCATAAGATTTTTTAGGATATGGATGAGAATTTTTAGGATATTTATTTATTTTAGGTTTCTTTATTATATTCTTTTACCTACTTGTGCTTAATGACCTAAAAAATAGGCACCCAAACTAATTGACCAAAAAGACTATAGCTATGAACCAACCTCCAAAAACACCTTTATTATAGAGTTCTTTGAAAATTGATACACCTAATTAGATTTATTTGACAAAAAATAAATAGAACAAAATATTTTGAAAAAAAATACACACCTGAGATGTAAATGCTTATTTTAAGGTCATTTAATTTAAAAATTTTTATTTTTAATACACCTTGATTCATATGTGTTTGTTTATATATATATATATATATACACTTGTTGTTAAATCCCTTATCTAAATTTTAAATTATCTTTAATGCAGCTTGATTCATACGTATTTTTTTTTTGGAAAGTGGTTTTATTTTTAAATTATATTTATGCATTAAATATTTACTACTACTAGTTTTATAGGATAATTTTAATATTTCATTTATTTTAGAATATATCACTTGTTTGAATTTCAAAATTTGTTAATATCTAAACTCCATAATAGTGTAACAAAAACAGTGTAACAAATATATTGTAACAAAGACATTGTAACAATACACTGTAACAAAAATAGTGTTCAGTAGTTTTATGCATGTGGTAACAAATTTAAAACGGAGATTGTACTATTTTGAATGAAATTATATGAAACTATATGTTTAACAAAATGTAATAGTATAATATTTTGTATAAATAACTTGTTACACTATTACACTATTCGGATATTAAATTAATTTGAAAATAAAATCACTCTTTAAAAAAAAACGCATGAATCAAGGTGCATTAAATATAATTTAAAATATATATATATATATAACGCATGAATTAAGGTGTTTTAAATATAATTTAAAAACAAAATTACTTTCCAAAAAAAATTCTCATGAACCAAGGGAGGACATACAAATATGAAATATTAAAGTTCTCTTATAAAATTAGGAGATATTTAATGCACTATTTTTCAAAGAAAATACATATGGATCAATTGAGAATAAAAATATCACAAAAAAATCAATAAAATTCAAATAATGTACTTAGATATAAAAAAGTATAAAAATTAAGGACTTAATTGTCCAATATTTTTTTTTGTGTATTTTTTTATAATTAAGTCTAATTTAGTGTATCCTCCCAATTTCCCCTTTATTTAATGCGTCTATACGGTCCAAACCATTTACCACTTAAACCTGCCAAGTCTAAGCCTAATTCCAACATGACAAGTGCACATCGTTTACATGTTGGATTCGCACATCGTGTTTATAATCCCCAAGAACTGTCCCGCCATTAGTTGGCAACAAAATAGTGGGCCAAGAGCCAGATATGACCCACNAAAATTAGGAGATATTTAATGCACTATTTTTCAAAGAAAATACATATGGATCAATGGAGAACAAAAGTATCACAAAAAAATCAGTAAAATTCAAATAATGTACTTAGATATAAAAAAGTATCAAAATTAAGGAATTAATTGTCCAATATTTTTCTTTATGTATTTTTTTATAATTAAGTCTAATTTAGTGTATCCCTCCTAATTTTCCCTTTATTTGTCCGGTCCAAACCATTTACCACTTAAACCTGCCAATAATAAGCCTAATTCCAACATGACAAGTGCACATCGTTTACATGTTGGATTCGCACATCGTGTTTATAATCCCCAAGATCNGGATTCGCACATCGTGTTTATAATCCCCAAGATCTGTCCCGCCATTAGTTGGCAACAAAATAGTGGGCCAAGAGCCAGATATGACCCACGGAACTGGGCTCTTGGGTGAAGAGAACCAACATTCATCAGCCCATCTTAACTGTTAGGCTGCTAGTTAGCCTTAGTAATAACACCCACCTGTTCCTACCTTCCACAGCAGTTTGCCAGGCGCCACTTTGCTTATCCATGTCTATTGGACATGAGAGTTTCTTATGACGAACTAAATTCATCAAAACCCCAATGTTAACCATTCAATCGAGCCCCAATCTATGGCACCCATCTTCTTCAAATGTGCAATTTTCTTCTCCCTCTTCTCAACCCGGGAGAATTTCAAACACTTTTAATCCAGATGACCAAACAAAAGAATCCTCAGCAGGCAAACTCAAACGCCAAGTTCTCAACTCAGAAAGTAGAACCAAACTCAACACCTATCCTGACAGAGAATTTTATGCCTACCCACGACTAGTGACCCATGTGGATGATNCAGAAAGTAGAACCAAACTCAACACCTATCCTGACAGAGAATTTTATGCCTACCCACGACTAGTGACCCATGTGGATGATAACTTCATTTCCACATTGACTGGTCTTTATAGACAACGGTTGAGGCCTGACTCGGAGATTCTTGATCTTATGAGCTCATGGGTTAGCCATTTACCTAAAGAAGTAGAGTTCAGAAGAGTGGTGGGACATGGGCTCAATGCACAAGAGCTTGCCAGGAATTCGAGGCTGGATTATTTTTTCGTGAAGGATCTTAATCACGATCAGAAGCTTGAATTGGAGAGTTGCAGTTTTGATGCAGTGTTATGCACAGTTAGTGTTCAGTATCTTCAACAGCCCGAAAAGGTCAGAATTCAGATACAGTTTCTTCAATAATACATTACTGGCTAAACAATCTTTGATGAATCCCAATTTGGGTTTCTACTTGAGTCACTATCCTTTAAGTTGGTTGGTTCACAGGCTCAAGTTTTTCGATGCTAATATGACAATAAATTTCGGATTTTCCTTTATCGTTTAGCTTATTCGATGCTCTAATTGTCTGTCTTATTGAGTTGTCATTTGGAACGAAGGAATTGCTAGTTGAAGGAGGGTAGTACATTTGTGTTCTATGCTTTCTGGTTGCCTATGTTAACCAATGATTGCCAGAAGCTTCTGGGACATGTGTGTAGTTTCTGTTTCTTGCCTGAGTAGCCTAGAAACACTCAGGCCGCCTCTTTCCACTTGAGATAATTTCCTTCCCCTTCATCCTCTCAGTTCCTGTTCGGCCAAACCAAAATGTCTTGGTGTCCCTAAAGAAATTTAGAAAAGGAGAGAAACTGAAAAGGGGAAAGAAAATGGAAACCAAGACACAACTCAACTATATACATGGTTCAACATATTGTGACTACATTCATGGACGAAGTGTCCAATGAGCTTATTATTTACATGAAATTCATTCTTGTTTAAAGGGTAAAGATATACATTTGATTATTATAANATATTGTGACTACATTCATGGACGAAGTGTCCAATGAGCTTATTATTTACATGAAATTCATTCTTGTTTAAAGGGTAAAGATATACATTTGATTATTATAAGATGAACCATCCATTCTTACCTAATATTAGAGATATAGAGGAGGTAAATACGTCACCCGTACTCAAAGCCTCTTTTCATCAGCCATTGCTTAAATTCAAATTCTGTTAACAAATTCAGGTCCACTTTGTGCTAACAGTACNAAGATGAACCATCCATTCTTACCTAATATTAGAGATATAGAGGAGGTAAATACGTCTCCCGTACTCAAAGCCTCTCTTCATCAGCCATTGCTTAAATTCAAATTCTGTTAACAAATTCAGGTCCACTTTGTGCTAACAGTGCTTCATATTTGGCCTCGTTGTTTGAGACCGTAAATTCAAATATTAGAGTATGTTCTACCTTCAGCTGGTCTGATGAAACTAGGATCAGCCCCGCACCTTCTTCACTCCAACTATAAACAAGGAACCATCAGTATAAAGGATCCAATCATTGGTCTTGTAGGGGTTGAAGCATCTCTTCCTGGCTCTTGAACTGTACTTTCTACAATGAGGTCTGCTCATGCATGCCCTTTGATGGAAGTTCTAGACTGATAGGTTATATCAAATTTCCCTAATTCGATAGCTCATTTGGTTAACCTATGCCTGGTTGTTATTCATACTTGCTGTGTTGCCGCAGGTATTTGCTGAGGTTTTCCGGGTGTTGAGGCCAGGTGGGTTGTTCATTGTGAGCTTTAGTAATCGATTGTTCTATGAAAAAGCCATTAGGGCGTGGAGGGATGGGACTGCCTACAGTCGATTGCAGCTGGTTGTGCAATACTTCCAATGTGTGGAAGGATTCACACAACCCGAAGTCATTCGTAGGTTGCCAGCTGCTGCTAATACTCAAGAGAACAAATCGCCTCTCAGTTGGATCATGAGGTTGCTGGGATTGTTGTCTGGGTCAGATCCTTTCTACGCTGTGGTAGCTTACAAAAACTTCAAACCTTTATATGAATAAATCGGTATCTTTGAAACATGTATGTAAAATATATTTTGATATTCCATGTTATGTTCTTCTCACAGTTGCTATAAATCCATTGTTAGCTGAAACAAAGGGTTTGATTTCATCATCTGTATTTCTTTTCGGAATGTGACAAATAATTTCAGAATTTGAATCCTGAATAGTTTACTGAAAGCAAACCAATGTTATCATAATGCCACCGACTTCCTTCATCATTATTGCCAATTTCAAGTTCTCCAATCATAGTACTGTTAAGAATTTCTGTCTATTGGTGGAGAGGTATATAAAGGAACGAACCAATGGATCAAGGAATGAAACGAGATTCACAATTCGTGTTGTGAGCATAACCGGCTTGAAATATTGCAATTAACCAAGGATTCAGAGAATAAGGATGAATATGTATGTAATTGAACAGGAAATCTGGAAAGATCACCATGAGCCCCTCTATTATCTATCTGAAGATCCAAAAGATTCTGCCTTGACATCAAGAGTAGGAGAGTAATTTGGTTATAGAACTTCTGCATATTGGTGAAAGTTAGTTTAAAGAATGTGCTGTGTGACAAATATATGATACTAGATAGCTCCTAATATTGGGCTTCAAAAAAAAAAGAAAAAAGGAACATTCATGCTAAGGCTAGTGATTTAGTCCTCTATGCTTCACCTGTTTCTATTCCAAAAATGCAAATATTAGCTGATAAGAAGATGGCCGTTAGGGTTAGGATACGCTATTGACCCTTGTTTATTTCGTTTATTTCAATAAAACACTTCAGATATGAGAACACTCAAAAAATATATATGTGGAGGAGAAGAGGAACTCCTATGTAGGGAGAATAAATCAATTTGGCTTCTTTTGCCTCGGAATTAAGGAAGAATTCTAATGCATAATTGTTGATGAGATGGTGTTATGATCAGTCTACAGAAAATGTTGAGTCAAACTTAAATTTGAGTAAAAAAATNGAGGAGAAGAGGAACTCCTATGTAGGGAGAATAAATCAATTTGGCTTCTTTTGCCTTGGAATTAAGGAAGAATTCTAATGCATAATTGTTGATGAGATGGTGTTATGATCAGTCTAAAGAAAATGTTGAGTCAAACTTAAATTTGAGTAAAAAAATTTTGATTTAGTATGACCATCTCTTCTAATGGATAAAATCAAATTTATTCTCAAATCTTTTTAAAAAGGTCTCATGTTGTCTTTAAACACATCTTTTTGCGTTGAAACGAGTATTCTGTTGTTTCACGGCAGTGAAGATGGCAGAACTGCAACGAAGAGAAGTAAATATGACAGATATGCAACTACAAATTTAGACGTGCTAAATTTAAATTTTAATAATTTCTTATAGTCAGACAATAAGGGATTAATCCCTCATAAATATCTNCATCTTTTTGCGTTGAAACGAGTATTCTGTTGTTTCACGGCAGTGAAGATGGCAGATCTGCAACGAAGAGAAGTAAATATGATAGATATGCAACTACAAATTTAGACGTGCTGAATTTAAATTTTAATAATTTCTTATAGTCAGACAATAAGGGATTAATCCCTCATAAATATATTAGTTCCAGTGTGGATAACCTGACCGGAGAGAGAATTAATCGAGATGTATATAAGTTGACTTGAGTACCGTTTATCGATCAATCAAAAAAAATACAAAAATTTTAACCTAAAACGCAATGCATAATATAAAAAAACTAAATATAACATTGGGAAGGGCCGCGTGATGGTTATTACAGCTGTAAAATTTTGTGTCACTTCCAAAGCGATAAAAAGACAAGTTTTTGTATATCTACTAGCCCATCAAATGACCCTATTGAGTTTTCTGAATAAATTCCTGGTGAGATAGTCTGAAAGCACTATNCCTAAAACGCAATGCATAATATAAAAAAACTAAATATAACATTGGGAAGGGCCGCGCGATGGTTATTACGGCTGTAAAATTTTGTGTCACTCCCAAAACAATAAAAAGACAAGTTTTTGCATATCTACTAGCCCATCAAATGACCTTATTGAGCTTTCTGAATAAATTCCTGGTGAGACAGTCTGAAAGCACTGTGTAACTTAAAATTTGAGCACCAAAAGAATTTATTTAATATAAAATGAGGGGTATAGTTTAGGGGGACCAAGTATAATTCTTTCTTTTAAAATTGAAGAACTTTAAGGGGAACCAAGTGTAATTCTTTGTTTGGGTTTCTATTGAGTCTTTTAAGTCTTTTGACGCCCCGTTTTGATCGGTGAAAGCAAAGTCTATTCGTATCAACTGCTGGTGATAGCAGTGGTTATTTTATGTTTCTTGCTTTGGAACAAATCATAATTCAACAGAAAGCCCGAGTTTTATCTGCCCCAATTACTGACCTACCCCTTACCGGTGTTGACCTAATTACTGACTTGCCCTTTTATGACACGTGGAGTGGGACTGTGTTCGTTTTATATTCTTGAACAACACCAGATTATTATCTCCAAAGCCTGCCTTCTTTTGTTGGATGACCAGCCTAGACACTAACGTGACCCAAACAACCCTTCCTCCTCTGCTTAACCTCCTTATCCTCTCTCTATCTCTCTAAACATCATGACTTATGCTATGACACCTCTCCTCAAGCCATACGAATGCTGCTGTATAGCATCTGTGCCAACACCTTTCAGCATCACCACTACCAAACCCTCATTCCCATTTTTTTCTCTACCTTCAAAACCCCTCAAACTCACCCACCTCTGTTTCTCGTCTTCATCGTTTTCTTCTTCTTCCCCTTCATGGGTCTCAAAACCCAAGATTTCACAGTCCCTTCTGGTCCCTCTTGTTGCACAGACCTCAGATTGGGCCCATCAAGAGGAAGAAGAAGTGCAAGAAGACAGACCAGTTGATGGGTTTCGGGCGGTGGATGACACAGATGCTGGTTCTAGTTTACCTTTGCAAGGTGAGGGTGAAGAAGAAGAGAGAGAAGAGGGTTCTGTAGATGGTGGGCTGTTGGAGGAGGAGGAGGAAAATAAAGATTCGTACGCAGAGCCCCCTGAGGAGGCCAAACTTTTTGTTGGAAACTTGCCTTATGACATTGACAGTGAGAAATTGGCTCAGCTTTTTAATCAGGCTGGTGTTGTTGAGATTTCTGAGGTATCAGAATTTGTTCTTTGTTTGGAATTTGGATACGCACAGCCTATTTCTGTTTATATATGTACTCATATATCGGGATATGGGTTTCTGTATCTTTCATCTTGACTATTGAACATATGGAAAACTTCGATGTATGGTATTTGTTTTGCTTGCTTCTCTGTTTATGATACATACTTCAACTGCTTTGAGTTATATGTCTTTTTTAGCTTTCTCTCTCCTCCTTTTTGTTTTTCGGTTTTGTAGTTAATGCTTGTTAGTAATGCTTTGTCTGGATTTTGTAAATGTGGTTTAATTTCTTACACCTTTTCTCATAGTGATGTTCTATCTTTCTAGCTTTACTCATCAGATGATTCGTTGTAGGTAATTTACAATAGAGAAACAGATCAGAGTCGGGGGTTTGGGTTTGTGACAATGAGTACTGTAGAAGAAGCTGAGAAGGCTGTGGAGATGTTCCATCGCTATGTGAGTTGTTCTTTTTCTATTTGCGTTTTGCTTTTCTCTATTTCTTTATTTGTTTTCTTGAATTAATTCTTGTTCTAATTTGTAATTTTCGTGTTGCTATTCTAAACTTGAATGTTTAGTGGGATCAATATGAGCCTCTCACAATACACTCATGTTGCAGACCTTTGATAGGTTTCCGGGAAGGAGGTACTTTGTGAGGAGGGCATTGAGCCATGTAGTTTGGTACTCTCCTGTGATGTGTAGAAAAATGTCTTATGTATTTGTAATTTATTAGTTAAAACTTGGGAGTCAAAAAGAGCGACTTCAATGTCTTTTGAGGAGAATTTTATTGGGGCATTTTGGTGTAGATACATCTCTCACCAAGCCTTAATGGAGCTCAATGGAAATAGAGTTTTTTTGTGGTACATTTTATTGATTTCCCACCATGCAGCTTATGCCAAATTTTCATCTATTTATGTTGCTCGGGTGATTGAGCTTTCCTTTTGTTTTTGATATTGATATATATTTTGGATCTTGGTTAATAGTGCTTAATTGCTTTGGCTTGTTGATTTTTAGTCCAAGGACATTTAACTTATTGGTGTATCAAAATAGCAGAGTCAGTCAATCGTGTGGTCTCTCTCTCTCTCTCTCACGGACACACATATTAGAGAGTTTCAGACTTTAGGGGAATCTCTTAGTGGGCTTATTCATGTCACAGACATAGGTTAAGAATTATTGGTGCAGACATAATCTAATCTAATCCTACTTGAATGTCATACTTGCATGCCGGCAACTGCTGCTTTTGGTGGTCAAAGTCATCGTATTAACCAAATTTTGGTTGCGTCTTTCAGAAGAAAATCTTTTTACTCATATATCAAGGACAATTCTCTTGGAGTGCAAAAGTGGTTGTTTATGGCTTCTGGAGAATAGAGTTTGCAGAATGTAAAAGCACAGATTCATGGAATTTAGGTGATCAGCATAACATACAATGTGTAGAAGTTGACTTAGAGAAGTGATGTTTTTAAACACATTGTACTTCCCCTTTGCATCAGGCAGTTATACTTAATATTCTGATAGAAAAACTAGTAAAAGCAGAGTTAAAGCTTCTGATAGACCAAGCATCATTGTCATTTGTATTTAATTGAGTGGAACACAAACCTTCTCAAAGGGGAAGGGGGAGGGGGGGGGGGGG